ATAATAAAATATAAAATATAATAATAAATATAACTAAATAATAAAATATAATAATAATAGAAATATTATTACAGTATGATCATATTTTATGAAGCAATTCTAAAAGCATAATACAAAACAAAACACTTCATCCTCAATAAGGATTAGAGCTTATAATTCTATAGAAAAGTTAAGCAAAGATATTTACTCTAATTTGCTTGACCAAGTTACTGAAGAAGAATACAGAAATGTTCTTAGCAAAACAAAAAATAAATTAGTATCAGAAGTATTAGGAATAAGTTATTCATTAATTAAAAAAGCAAGAAAGGTAGCTCAAAGGATCTTTACAATACTAGCAGACTATTACTTAGCTTTAAAAGATATTTTAATTAAGTAGAAAGTAGATCAGTTATATCCAATTTCAAAAAATAAAGATTAGAACTATGATCTCTCAAATGTCAAACCAATTGTACTCTTAGAAGCTTTTTGTAAAACAGTAGTCAGAATACTTAATACAAGACTAGATTACATCATAGTCATACACAAAATACTAGAAGATTCTAACTATGCAGAGTTAACAAGAGATAGTATAGCAAGTCCTATTCATATTATGAACAATATTCTAAAAGATACAAGACAAAAAGGCAAAAAAGTCTGAATATTGTTTCAGGATATGAAAAAAGTATTTGATTTAGTAAGCCTAGAAATAATAGAAAAAGCACTGTGAAGAATCAAACTACTAGAACAAACAATAAATTTCTCCTTAGCCTATATAACAAAAGAAGAATCAAAGTCATTACAGAGTATAGTCTAACTTAAGAATTTGTAGCAAAAGATAGTCTTAACTAAGAAGAAGTAGTTTCACTATTAATGTGGTATATTTTTTATAACCCCTTATTATACCTAATTTATAAAAAAAAAGAATATAGAATATATTGTAGAATCAGAATAGCCTTTTGATCTAAGCTCAAACAGAACTCAAATATTATGCTAGTAGCAGGAAGTGCTAGCCTATGTAGATGATATAAGCTAAATAGTAAGATCTAAGGAAGAACTACAAAAAATCATTAACATATCAACAGAGTTTTATGAACTCAATGATATTAAAATTAATAGCAAAAAATCAGAGTTTTTGGTATTGAATTTTAAGGACAAAGGAAGAAAAGCAGATCATATATCTAAAATTAGTCTTGGCAAGAACAAAAAAATAGTATGAGCAAAAAAAAGAAAAGAAGTGATAAGATATTTCAGAATATAGATATCTGAAAAAAGAGGAAAAGAATGCAATGAACTAATTATATCAAAAGAAGTAGCAAAGATATGTAAAGCTATTTTGTAGAAAAAAGCTTCAGTAAGCTAGCTAGTCTATCTAAATAATAGTATCTTACTACCTAGTATTGAATATAAACTTCAAACCTCATTTTTCTTTAAAAATATATGCAAACACATATAAAAATCTATTTGGACACTAATTAAAAATAAATTAGATCTAGTAAAGTTAGCTCTAAACAGTATATATAGTTATTTAAAATATTAGGAATACATACAATATAGCAAAATCAGCTAGTATACCACATTACAGAACTAATAATATGTTTGAATAAGAAAGATGAGTTAAGAATTACTACAAGACTCAGAATTAGAGAAGTGTAACTCAAAAGTACATATCTAAGTAATATAACTAGTAGTGATATGAAGTTAGATAATATAACTCTCAGATATAACCTAGCCTTTAAAGTGATAGTAAAGGCCAAAAAACTAGATTTTAGCTTTTAGAAAAGTTGCTTTTATAAAGTAAGCTTAAACTTAAAAAGCACTAGTTTATCAAGTATACTAGAGAAAAAAAAGTGATTAGTTATAGAAACAGCAATAATATGAATATTTTTGTACTAGAGTAGCTAATTACAAGAAATAATAATATTCTATTAATATAGTAGCAAGTCAAAATTATTAGAGAATACAAGAGAAGAGAACAAAAACCAAATTAGTACAAAGATTTGAAAACAAAAGTTTTCAAAGATAGTAGCTTAAGAAAACTGAAAGCAGAATTCTAAATAGATTTGCTGAACCTATTAGCAATCAGGTGCAAAGAACTAAGAGTATCTGCAGATAAGAGAAAAAAAGAATTGATAATATTAAAGAAAGAAGAAAAATACGAAAGTAGAAAAGTTATAAAAAAGGAGTCTAAGCATTTTACAGTAGAGTATTAGAAAATAGAAGAAAATGAGAACATAAGAAGTTCTATATCAATGATCAAATGTAGAAGTTACAAGTTAGAGAAATGAAATAATATGAGCTGTTTAATTAGACTCAAGTATAAAAACTAGCACAGATACTTAATAAAGTTCAAGAAAATAGTGAGCTTGCCTATACTAAGATACTAATTTCAACTTATAAAGATAATAGAGAAATAGTTAACTTAAAAGTAATAGATAATAGCAGAGACATGAAAGTGAGTATTATAGAAATAGAAGAAGTAGTTATATATAGAATAGTTAAGGATAACAATCTACAAAATGAGCTTAGTAGAATAGCTAGTATACTCAAAGGAATAGAGGAGCTAGATATTTATACAGATAGTTCACTAGTAGTAGAAAATATAAAAGAGTAAGAAATTAAAAAGATGAGTATTAATTAGGTAGTAGCAGATAATAGTAGGAAAAAATCCAGTATTAGTTTTAGTAGTAGTATAGTAGATTAGCTCTTGTTTACTCATGCAGAATTAGATACAATCTGGTCAGCTCTTTTAGTAATACCCTTTGAAATGACTGTTAGGATATTTTTAGACAATAAAGTAGCAATCGAAAGAATCCAAAACTTTAAAGGTTTTTCAAAGCTACAAAGCAACTTCAAAGCAAAAAACTATTGTATAATTAAAAGATTTCTAATAAATTTAAAAAAGTTTCTTAATAAAGTTGATAAAACAAATGTTTAAACCTATTTTTTAATTAATAAATATATTGTTAAAATTAATATTTAAAATTTTTATCTAATATTAAAAATTATTTTTAAAAGTTACAGGTAAATTTAGCTGCAATACAATTTAAGAGATAAGTTGTTATTTATTATTGCTTTAGCTAAGATTTGTTATATATATTATAAAAAAATTTTTTGCATTATTTAAAATATATAGAAGTATTCAAATTTGTTTACTAAAATTTAAAAAAACTAGAGCTAGTCTGTATTAAAAATAGTTTGTTGTTATATTGTAGTTATATATATCTAATATTGTATTATTTACAAGATTTTAAATATTAGTATATATTTTTTCTTATAATTAACTTTTATTAGCAATAATTTGTCTTAATAAATTTAGTAAATATATTTTTTATATAGTAGAAAGATGTTTTTAAGTATATAACCTATGCAAAACTATAGTATTAAATTTTTTTTTTGTTTTTTTATGTTAAAGGTAACTTACATTGCTGAAGAAATTTTATTAATGTTGCAAATAGGATTATATATTAATAATCTCTACTGTTTGCAATTACATGAAAAATATACAACAAGCTACATATACAACTTTAGTTATTGTCTATTTTAAATAGTTCACTATACAAATATTAAACTATCTGATTAGTTCTATACTATGCTACAATATCTGTAATCTACCTGTAAGTTATCTATTTAAGCACTCTGTTCATTAACTTATACAGATCTAATTTAACATCACTGCAATACCTAACTACTTAAATCAGCTAGCTTGTTATAGATCCATTTATCCAGAATAGCTTAGGTCCTCTTAGAATACATTATATCTAACATATTGTTGGTATTGCAAAGCCGGATCCGCCTATATGTTCAATTATTTTTGTCTGAATTGGACATATAAAATTTTTATACGTCCAATTGTCCAATCGCGCAATTTTTTTATGTCCAATTTTGTCCATGTCTCTAAGTGCATTTCTTCGTGTATATAAGAAAAAATAACCAAAAACTGTACTAAGAATACAAAATATATTTAGTTTTATATACTTGGGACCAGAAGAGATCTTTATTTTAAAAGTTAATTTTTATTAAGACTGGCGTTTATTGACTTAATTGCATTAATCTTATTTTTATAGGGATGGATAGGACCGAATAAGAATCAATCTTTTAACCGGTTCCACGGTTATTCAGTTCTAGGTCTTGAACCAGCCCGGACCAGTATTCATAAATAGTTAAAAATACTATATTAAAATTATTAAAAAAGTATGTTACATAATTGCTAATTCGATCTCTCCGCTAGCAAATAAAATGGTTAGTTTTAAATAACCAAGGACCGTTTGTAGGACCGAGAGACTGGACCAATGAACTGGTCTTATTAGGAATCGTACAGACTGGACCGGACTGATTCATCCCTAATTATTTTAATATTATGCAAAAATATTTAATATTCTCCAAAAAAATATTTAAGATCCCAAAAAATATTTAATCCCCAAAACATTTAAGATTCCTCAGATCAACCGTGACAATAACAGATGTCCAAATATAATAACCTCAATTAGTAACAGATATACTATTTATCATGATATGATTCAATTGAATTAGTTGAATTGCTGTTAGCCAAACAAGAATCCGAAAATATTTTTTCCCTGTTAAATGTATAATCGATGATCAGCGTAATATCATAAAATCTTTCTCTAACACCATAAATCTTATGATTCAATTCCCAATTAACTTCAGGCATCAAATTAGTCAAATAATTTCCAATATTTTCTCCAAATTGGTCCAAAAAAAAGTATCCGATTACTCCATGATGTGACATTGCTTTCCACGTTGATTTAGTTAATGAATCGTTTTTTGGTTTGATGATTACTGATGTCATACCACCTATATAACTTTCTTGAGCAAATGTGATCGTTACTGTAGATCTGAAATTTCTAAAATTATGTTTCAACATTGCATTGGCAATATTCATCACTATTGTTTCCAGGGTTTTAACAAAATTGTCAAGTCTGTCAGAAATTAATTTAGTAAGTGGTGATGATATTCGTTGTAATGATGCCACGAATGGTGCGATTTTAATCGCATTTTGTGGAATTTGGAAATAGTCACATTCATCTTCTAAATCTTGCCGAGTTATATTTAAACCCAAACCTTTAAAAAATTTTATTATTATACTCAGTAATTCATTCATTCAAAATAATATATAATCAAAATTTACAAAATTCATTGTTTCATTAGCTATTTTCTTAGTCATTTTCATTATATCTTCTCTGTTCTACATTTTCCTATTAACTATCTAATCTATAG